GAACGGTTCGAATCCACCAGATGCTCTGCCGGGGAAGGAGGGACAATCTCCTCCTGTACCAGTCAGATCTGATTTGATGGTACACGCACACAAAAATAATAAAATAAAAAAAAATTTAAAAAAAAAGAATAAACCAAACTGACCCTCCCTCCATAGTGAAAATGAAACCAAGTCTGTGGTCTAATTAAGGTTATGTATTCAATGTCAAGTTCCAGCTTTCATAGTACACTGCTGTTAAATTCGATGTCACCATTTGGGGAAGCTGGGTGGGTAGGATTCTACTGTTTTTGTAACTTCTGTAAGTCTGTAGTTCTTTCAAAATAAAAAATTCACTTTGGGCCCAGAATCAGAACTTTTCCCTTGTTCATTTATTCTTCCAGAAACCTCCGGCTTTCTGTCGTTTTTAAATTTGGAAACTTAAAAACTTTTGGTTGTTACATTCAGACATCACAGTAAGAATCTAAGACTGTGTGTATACTATTTGTCAATCACATTATCACTATGCTCTGTCATTAAGTCTTGCTTTTTTTTACCATTATTAAAGTATGATTTATAGGGATTTTACAGTAGTTTTTCAATTTCTAGGTTGTTAGAAATTAAAAATATAAAAGTAAAAGGAAATAAGGCACACAGTGGTCAAAGGGACAATTTATGGCTTTTATTTGCATTTAACTACTTTTTCTCATTCATACCAGTGTACTAGTTCTTAAACTTGGAATTAACAGAACAATTTAAAAAAATTTCATTAATACCTAGCTCTCCTCTCAGACATTCTGGTTTAATAGCTATAGGGTACATTCAGTTGTTAAACATTTATGGGCCTATTATTCCCTTTATCCTCTCCACCTTTTAACTGTCCTCGCTACCTTTTTTTAAGAGCCGCCTTATGTGTGTTTTTATTTTTTTAATTAATTTTAATGAAAATTTACAGAGACTTTGGATTACCATTCATTCATTGTTGCACTTTTCTCCCTGCCCACCCCTCCCCACCAGTTCGCTCTTCTCTTTGAAAAGTAAAAGAAAAATTCTTTCATTGTTATACAACCCCTCCCCCCAAGTTCACCCCACTGTGCAGCCTTCATTCTGGGCTCCTGTCATGACAATAATACCTAATCACATAACCCTTTTAAACAGTTCTCGCCCTCATCAATACAGTATACATAATTTATCCCATATTTCTCAGTCTCTCCCCAACCCCGATGTCAGTCCATTTTACAACAGTGGCACCACGCAGTATTTGTCTTTTGTGACTGAGATGCTTCACTCAGTATGATGTCCTCCAGGGTCACCCATTTTGTATAATATTTCATGAGTTTTTTGTTTTTCAAAGTAGTGTAGTATTCCATTGTGTGAATATACCACAACTTCTCTTTCCATTCGTTTGTTGATGGTCCCTTAGGTTGTTTCCAACTCTGCTATTGTGAACAAAGCCGCAATAAACGGGTGAGAGTGGAAACAAACTGACACGGGCAGCCAAGGTGTTAGAGCAGTTCATAGGCCAGTCTCACATGTTCTCCAAAGCTAGATATACTGTCAGATCCTTTGGCATGAAGAGAAGTGAAAAAATTGCTGTCCACTGCACAGTCTGAGGCAGAGGAAATCTTGGAGAAAGGTCTAAAGGTGTGGAGATATGAGTTAAGAAAAAATAACTTCTCAGATACTGGAAACTTTGGCTTTGGGATGCAGAAGCACATTGATCAGGATATCAGATATGACCCCAGCATTGGTAATGCAACCCCAGCATATGGCCTGTACTTCTGTGTGGTACTCGGTAAGGCCAAGTTTCAGTACTGCAAACAAGAAACATAGTACAGGCTGCATTGGGGCCAAACATATTGGAGGACGTCTGCTGCTTCCAGCAGAAGTATGATGAGACCATTCTTCCTGGCAGATTCCCATTTTTAGGCAAAAGGCCAATAAAATGTTTTCATGAAGCAAAAACCAAAACTCAACAAGCCCCCAAAGTGAAATAGCTTGATTGTGACTGTCTATAGGGACCCTGCATGTCTCTAAATTTTGTTTGTTTTGGTTTTGCGAACATACAAAGCAAAACATGACTTTTTTTTTTTGCCGGTGAAACTATATTCCTTTGTTTCATCTTTTTCTCTTGTTCCATTAGATGTTGGTATATTTAATCTCTAGTGATAAGCACTGTTACCAGGGCACAGAAGTGGGGTTGCAAACGGCAAATACATCTATAAATGTATCTGGATTGGCAAAGTTGTGTTTTTGTTATGTTAATACTTAATGTTTATAAAGATTTATTCTGTTGTCATGCATAGCTAATGGGCAAGTAACTTGGAAAATCATTCTGGAAATAAATTTTATAATATATATCAAATAATTTTTCATATGTTTATGCTCTTCAGCTCACTATTCAATTTTTATAAATTTATTTTGATCTCATCAGCTATGGAAAGTTATACTATGAACACTTCTCTTGTCTATAGTTGAAGGTCTCAGTCAGTAGTTACTAAATCCTGGGGTAGCCATGTTTGGAAAAGTGAAATCTCTTGAGTCAATTAATGCATCCTCTAAAGAAAGACATGTCAGTGTCTTGGGTGCCATTATTCTACTTAAATGATTTAATTAATATAAAACCCATGGAAGCTCCTAGAGTTGATGATAGAGATGAAACCACAGCTGCAGTAGAAGTAGTAGTGTAAAGGATGTAGCAGAAGCTGCAGAGTTGTTGAGTCCTAGGGAACAGCGGACTAAGAGATGTAATGACTCACATACCCTGAATTCTTCATGTGGATATAGGTGAACTCAGTAGTACTTTTGTATATAAAATCTGAGTTGGAAAAGACTTATAGAAGGGAGCTCTGGTGGCCTAGTGGCAAGAAGCTGTACTGCAATCCCAGAGCTGTGCAGTTTGAATCCACCAGATGCTCTGTTGGAGAAGGAAGGACAATTTCCTTCTGTACCAGTCAAATTGGATTTGACAGTACACACACACACACACACACATAATAAAATTTTTTAAAAAGACTGGCAAAAGAGGCAGGTATAATTCCTATTGTACTTATCAGAGTCCCAGAACAGTTCCTTCAAAGATTCTCTGGTTGCCTTTTTCTGAAGGGAGGACCTCCACTACTTGTCCTGGTCTTGTGAAGAACCGTGGTAGTGGAACCTAACAACTTGGTTCTGAAGGACAAGCTAATGGACTTGACTCCATCTGGTAGCCCGCATTGGCCACCTGGCAGAAGAGTGCCTGAAGCACTACTTTTGCTTCAAATTAGCCTTACTTGATGGGCTTGGTTGCAGATATTATGCAGCTTTCTATTTTTAAAACATAATTACATAATATTAAAGTTGAATTATAGGTTAAGTTAGGGTGTGGGAGTTATTCATTACCTTAGGAATCTAACCATCATTTGAAAGCTCTGTCTTTGTGAAACATATTCATTGTTGCTGTGTGCTATTGAGTTGGAACCAATTTATAGCTGACTCTCTAGTGGGTTTTCAGAGGCTGTAATTGCACGTAAGGAGGTTGCCAATATTGTGGAGCAGCTGGTGGATTTGAACCACCTGCCTTTAGGTTGGCAGTGCAGTTCCTTACCTTTGAGGTTATCAGAGCTCTTTTAAATATATGCCATAATAAAAGGTAAGCAATTCCATGTTCTCCTGGTCCTACATATAGTGGTTGTTGATTGTTTAGCATTATGATAGGAAGACAATGTAATAAGTCACTAAATAATTCCTTCCTAAACTACTATAAAGTACTCAATTAAAATGTCAGCAGAGAGAAGACTAGAGAAACTTTAGTTACATCAATTACACTATAAGACTTTTAAGGTAATCCTGACCCATTTCTTGAGGACCAGCCATTTCTAAACATGGTTCATTTATAAATGGATATTCATAATGCATTCCAAAAATGGGAAAGAACTGTGCTTCAAACAGCTTGTAATAGATGTTAAGATATAGACTGAGGAGGGGGAGGGGAAGATACACACTAGGGAAACCTTGAGGATTATGATTGTCCATTTTGTTTGAGCATCTGTAAAGTAACAAATGAATTGTTTGTTTTGTAGAATTCAGACATTCCTATACTTTTTAGTCTACAACGTGTTCTGCTCATTCTTGGACTATTTTTTACTGGCCTCTTGCCATTTGTGCCCATTCGAGAACAGTTTTTTGAAATCCCAATGCCTTCTATCATATTGAGGTAAGTGGTTAACTTGTTTTCATAAATTATCATTTACAGGAGTACTAAGATAAAGCCTCATTAATATGAATAGTAAATGATAATAGATTTTTATAGTTATTTCTGTGTTCCATTAACTGACCTATATTAACAATGCTTTTGATTAACTGACACATTTTCTTAAATGAATGATAAAAGTTTATAAGTACTTTAAAAAAATTTTTGGTTTCTAAATACTTAATGTGGACCTGTGTCTTTCTGTGTACTCAAAAGCTAGGTAAAAAGTTTGTGCTTTCCCCTGAGGAGAAAAGAAAAAGAGCATTGTAGACGCTTGATAATTTTTAAATTCAGATGCCAAATATAAATTGTCCTTGAGAGTCTCTTTTCTCTTTTTACTTTATAAATGACCATACCCAGCTAAAGTTTTGTTAAATTCCAAACACAGTACTAGTATTAATTAAAAATACTAACAACACTTAACAACCATACCATTACAAAAATCTCTGCAAACAGGAGATAAAAAAAGGGCAGAAATAGTTTCTTTGTTTCTGTATTTCCATAAAGAATGTTTTTTACTTATATACAGATTTGTCTTGAAGACAGACTTAGGAATTAAATTCATTATAATCCAAGTATTGACAATATAGGTAGAAGGATTTAGGAAGGAAACAGTAAATAAAGATCTGGGGAAAATAGAAATCAGTGTGTGCTGATCAATTGGAATGCTAAGAGATCTTCCTACTAGAGCTATTATTAACTGAGGCCATTAATAGAGAGATGTTCTATGGACACAGTGTGCTGCGTCAGGCATAGAAGAGATTGAAAGAAGGAAGTCAGTTCTTCTGGTAGGATTTCATGAAAAAGGACAGTGGTGAAGGGAAAAGATCATTTTTCAAAAAAGTTTGCTTTTTATCCCAAGTATCTCTTAAAGCATAGTAATATTTTTTTTAAACACAACTAAATTTATTTAAACAGTCTAACTGTAGAAAAGGAGTAGATGAATATGAAAGCGTAGTAATATTTTATGTGTGTTTAAAATGACCACATGCTAAATTAGAGATTACAGAGCAATAAAATGAAGTTTCACTAAAAAACAGAAGAAAGTGGAAAAGAGGCATGAGACCAGGATACCAAAAGATTCTGTAGGGATAACTTCTTTGATTTTTACCTTTGAATGTTGTTGTTGATTGCCATCGAGTTGAGCATGACTCATAGCAACCCTATGAACAAAAGACCTGAAGACTTTCTATGTTGTTGTTGTTAAGTGCAGTTGAGTCGCAGGCGACTCATAGCCACCCTATGATGGAGAGTCCTCAAAGCTTGGAAGCCTTTCTATAACTATCATAATTTATCAAAGTTCATAGAGTTTCCAGAGGCATGTTGTTTAGGAAGTGAATGCCACAGTTGCAGAAAAAAGAAAAATTAGGTTGAGAGCATTGGAATCAAAGAACCCAAAGGGGTCTTATTTTATTTATTCTTTTAAAAAATATTTTTTGAGTACATACTAATCAAGGCACTGTCTTATTTTTTTACCTCATGCTAATGTTTAATTTTATTTTGCCACAGATTGAAAGATCCACTCACTATGTCAAGATGTCAGAAGTTTCTCATCTGGCTTTCTGATACGTAAGAATTTTGGTTTCTTGATAGAAAATTTCTCTTTAACTATTTATGACATTACAGTAATTTAGGTCTCTAAATCTTTACATCTTATTAGTATGGCACGTGTCTGTTTTCTGCCCTGGGATAACATATGGGATGTTGTGGTTTAGGGAAGCTACACTATTGGTGTTTTACATGCCAGGAGGCTCACCCATGGTAGACAGATTTCAGCAGAGCTTCCAGGTTAAGACAGACTAGGAAATAGTATTGGCCATCTGCTTCTGTAATAATAGGTCTCTAGAAATCCTATGTACATTAGAGGAATATCGTCTTAGAAATAGATCTGAGATTGGAATTCACTCAAAATGAGGAGAAACAACTGCAAACATCCTTTGATAATTGGTACTTGGACTGTACAAAGAGTGAGTGTAGGCAAACTGTTGTTGTTGTTGTTATGTGCCGTTGAGTCGCTTGCAATTCATAGCGACCCTATGTACAACAGCCCTAAACCCTGCTCTATCCTGTGCCAGTTGCACTGCCTCTGACACACCCATCCCGATTACCCCAGTCACTGAATCAATCCAATTCATAAGGGGTCTTCCCCTCCTGTGCTGTCCCTCCACCCCACCAAGCATGATGTTCCTCTCCAAGGACCTGTCTCTCCTTACAACATGTCCAAAGTATGTCAGACGAAGCCCCAGAATCCTTGCCTCCAAGGAGCAGCCTGGTTTAACCCTCTCCAGGATGAATCTGTTTGTTTTCTTGGCAGTACAGGGTACATTCAATACTCTTCTCCAGCACCACAGCTCAAAGGCATCAATTCTTCTATCCTCCCTAGTCATTGTCCAGCTCTCTGATGCATAACAAGTGATTGTGAAGACCATGGCATGTATCAGGCACACCTTAGTATCCAGAGAGACACCAGTTGCTCTTGAGTACTTTAGAGAGGTCCCTAACAGCACACTTCCCCATCGCAATATGTTTTTTGATTTCCTGGCTGCTGGTGCCAAGAGTGTTGACCGCGGAGCCGAGCAAAGTGAAGCTGTGAACAATCTCAATCTCTTCGCCATCCATCCTGATGGTACCAATTGGTCCAGTGGTGGGAATCTTTGTCTTCTTAACATTGAGCCTCAGTCCATACTGAAGGCTGCAGTCCTTGACCCTCTGCAGCAAGTGCATGAGGTCCTCCTCAGTTTTGGCAAGCAGGGTTGTATCATCTGCATAATGCAGGATTGTTAATAGATATTCCACCAATCCTGACGCCACGCTTCTCCTCATAGAGCCCAGCCTCTCGGATAATCTGCTCTGCATACAGGTTGAAAAGGTATGGAGATAGGACACATCCCTGGTGTACACCCTTCCCAATTTTGAACCATGCGGTGTTACCCTGCTCTGTTCTGACGACTGCCTCTTGGTCTAAGTATAGGTTTTGCATTAGCATGATTAAATATTCTGGGATTCCCATTCTTCTCAGTGTCAGCCACAGTTTGTTATGATCCACACAGTCAAACGCCTTTGCATAATCAATGAAAAACTGTAATCAAGACAAACTGTAGATTGGTAAAAATGAGATGAAATCCATAAATATTCTAGGCATTAGTGAACTGAAATGGTTGCTCATGGGCCATTTTGAATCAGACAGTCATATCTATGATCTAGTATGCCAGGAATGAGAAACTGAGGAATAATGGTGTTGACTTCATAGTGAAAAGATAATTTTAAGATCTAGCCTAAAGTCCATTATTGTAATAGGAAACTATTCATATTCATACAAGGAAGGCCAGTAAATAAAACTATTATTCAAATATGTGCACCAACTACTAGAGCCAAAGAAGAGGAAATTAAAGATTTCTCCTAACTTTTGCAGTCTGAAACTGACCAAACATACAATCAAGATCCATTAATAATTATTGATGACTGGACTGCAAAAGTTAGAAGCAATGAAGAAAGAGTGGTAGTTGGAAAGTATAATCTTGGTGAAAGAAATGAGACTGTACATTGAATGATTAGATTTTGCACATTCAATGATTAATTCATTGCAAATACCTTTTTAAAAAAGACAAAAGGCATCTTTACACATAGTCCTCACTTAATAGACTACACAGGAATCAGATTGATTTTATCTGTGGAAAGAATCATTTGACAAGAGCAATATTAATATTCAAAACCATGCCATCTGCTGACTGTGGAACAGACCATCAGATGGGACTCAAAATAGTGTTTTGGTTCTTGTGAATTAGTTTCCATTTTCTTCAGCTTCAACTTAAACTTGCACATTGAGTCCCATCTGAATTTAAAAATCATCTTCAGAATAGGTTTTTAAACACTAATGATTGAAGACCAGATGAGGTATGGGATGACATCAAAGATATCATCCACAAAAAAAAAAAAAGGTCATTATAAAGACAGAAGAGAGAAAAACAAACAAACAAAAAAGACAGAAGAGAAAGAAAAGACCAAAATGAATGTCAGAAGAGACTCTGAAAATTGTACTAAAGTGTCAGGAAGTCAAAACAAAGGGGATAAAAGCTGAATGAAAGAAATGAACAAAAGATTTCAAGAAGATGGAGCAAAGTATTATAACAGAATGTACAAAGAGCTAGACTTGGAAAATTAAAAGGGAAGAACTCACTTGGCATTTCCAAAGTTGAAGGAACTGAAAAACAAATTTGAGCCTTGAGATGCAATACTGAGAGGTGTTATGGGCATACACTTGAATGACCAAGGAGACATCAAAAGGAGATAGAAGGAATACACAAAATCACTCTTCCAACTTTTCAAAGAGAGGAGCGAACTGGGTTGGGGAGAGGGCTGGGCTGGGAGAAAAGTTGCAACAATGAATGAATAGAAATCCAAAATCTGTAAATGTTCGTTAAAATTAATAAAATAAAATAAAAAAAAAAGACCTGGCTGACAAATGAAAAATTTCAGGAAATACCATAGGAACAAGAGCCACTTGTAATGAAGGAAAATATTCAAGCTGTATTGAAGGCATTAGCATAAAATAAGACCTTAGGAGTTGATGTGATACCAATTGACATGTTTTAACAAACAGAAGCAGCCCTAGCTGTGCTCACCAGTTTATGCCAGGAAATTTGGAGGACAGCTGCTTGGCCAACTGACTGAAGAGATCCATATTTGTTCCCATTCCCAAGAAAGGTGTTCTAACAGAATGTGGAAATTATCAAACAATATAATTAATACCACATGCAAGCAAAATCTTGCTGAAGACGATCCAAAAACCACCAGAACAATGCATTGAAAGAGAACTTTCAGAGGCTCTAGCTAGGTTCTAAAAAGGCCATGGAACCAGGGATACCATTGCTAATATGAGGTGGATACTTGCTGAAAACGGGGAATACCAGAAGAATGCCTAGTTATGCTTTATTGACTGTGACCATTGATAGTGTGGATCATAGCAAACTATGACTAACATGGAGAAGAATGGGCGTCCCAGACCACATAATCGTGCTCATGGTAAAACTTATACCTAGACCAAGAAGCTGTTGTCTGAACAGAACAAGGGAACACTGCATGGTTTAAAATCAGGAAAAGTATACATAGTGTTTGTATCCTTTCTCCATATCTGTTCAGTCTCTATGCAGAGCAAATAATTTAAGAAGTTGGACTCTATGAAGAATGATGGTGGCACTGCACTGGAGGAAGACTAATCAACTTGTGCTAAGCAGATGACACAATCTTGCTTGCTAAATGAGGAAGACTTGAAGAAACCTTTACTGCAGAAGATCAAAGACTACAGCCTTCAGTATGGATTGCATCTCAACATCAAGAAAACAAAACTCCTCACCACTGGACCTATAGGCAACATGATAGATGGAAAAAAGACTAAAATTGTCAATTATTTCATCTTACTTCGATCCATAATCAACACCCTTGGTACCAGCAATCAGGAAATCAAGAGATATATTGCATTGGACAAGTCTACTATCGGGAGTCTCTCCAAATTATTGAGACATAATGATGCCAATTTGAAGACAGAGGTCTGCCTGATTTAGGCCATTGTGGGGGGCCATGAACGGCCGCATGGTCGCCATTACAAGGTGGCGCTGATTTCCTGCTTCTCTTTGTGAAAGCTTTCCTCTACTTGTTCCAGTCGAGCCTTGAGCTCTGCTTCATGTTCCAGCCTTAGCTTTTCCTGCAAATGAATCTGTTCTTCATCAAACTTCATTTGTAGTTGCCTTTTCTCCTCCTCATATCTGCAGGCGGTCTTATGTTGCATCTCGTTTAGTACCACTGTCTGTTGGTGAAGGTCTGCAATTTCATTTGTAAGGCCACTAATTTGCTTTTCTAAGGTGTGTATTTTATCCTCATATTTTTGCTTCATGTTCTCTTGCTCCTTCTCACAGGTGAGCTTGGTCTCATTGAGCTGCTTTTCATAATGGCGTACTTTATCTTCAAGCTCCAGTCTCAGGCAAACCAAGTCCCTGTGATGCTGTTCTTTCATCTGTTCGATGACCAGCTTTGCTTCAATGCTCATATTCAATGGATTGCACTCTTCAGAACCAAGCCCCTGGTCAGGCTCAACGCCACCGCTGCTACCCTCCAGCTCTTCTGACAAGGAGTTCTTTAAAGGAAGTCTGAACACTTTGCCTTGTGCGCGATATTCTTCCAGCTCAGACTGGAGTTCATCCGCTTGGTCTTGTAGCACCCTGCACTGCTGCTCATATTCATTTCTCATCTGTGCCAGCCTCTCTTCTTGCAGAAAGAATTCGGCACTGCTGGGATCAAGGTCACCAAACTTTTCTGCTAGCACGTTCTCCAAATTCCGCTGCAGTTTGCTTGTCAGATTCTCATACTCTGCCAATTTCTCTGCATTTTCCAGAAGTTCATTTTCTAAACGACTGTTTTCCTTTAAAGAGAGGGTGAGGCGGTCTCGGATGTAGTTTTTCTCTGTCTTTGCCTTTTCAATTTCCTGTTCAAGTTCCAAACGCTGCTTGCCCACCTGTTGTAGGATCTGTTCCCTCTCCTTTCGGAGCTCATTCTTTAAGGCTGCTATGCGCTCCTTGTATTCTTCATCCAGTTTCCTGAGGTTGTACTCATTTCACCGCTCTATGGCTGCGTGGTGATCGTCCACCTCTGAGGCCATTAGAGATTTGAGTTTCTCAGCCTTGTCCAGATCTGACCTTAGCTTCTCTTTTTCTCTGACTACTTGGTCAACTCGCTCCAGCAAATGGCGGATCTCAGCCTTGAAGCTGGCCAGAGCTGCCTGGTGAATGCCATTCTTCATGACCAAAAGTTCATTCTCAAAAGACCCATCTGTAAGACTGGATACCTATTTAAAGAAAATGCTTTAATTTCTAAGACTGGTTTAATTTATTTTTAGGTACAAGTCAGAGTAATAATGCCATAGTTTGATTTCATTTCTAATCTTCAAGGATACTTTTTTTAACTAGTATGAAATATGCATGTCTTTAATTTCTAATGAACAGAAATAATATGTCCAACTTTCTAATACAATTTGTTTCCATCTTAAGTGTTTGCTACTCTAAACCTTCACTTAAGTTATTTGAAACTAAGCAATGTTCTTTTCTTGTCTGTAGCATAGTGTAATCAGTGGACATTAGGTTTCTAAGATCACTCACCAGAAGACTTTTATTCTGTTGTTTAACTGAGCTGTGATATTATTGAACTTGACCAGAGTTTGCTGCCTTAATTTAAGGTTGGAATTTCTCATGTGGTCCAGCAAAGAAAATGAGGCAATATAATAACAATGAATCTCTCTCCCTCCATGATGTATGTGAATGGTAAAAAAATGTTAATAATAATTTTAAAACTGAAGAAAGAAGTAAGATTGGATCGCCTGGTGATTTGCTGGCAACAAAGAGTAGTAGAAAGAAGGTTGGTTGCCTGTTGGCAGCCAACAGTGACCGTAATTTTGTATTTAAGGAAACCATAAAAATTACTGATGGCAGCTGTTGTAACTTGAGGTCATTGCTTGCATTTTTTTTTCAGTAGTTACTTCTTTTTTTAATCATTGTTTTAATTAATTTTAATGAAAATTTACAGAGACTTTGGATTTCCATTCATTTATTGTTGCACTTTTCTCCCTGGCCACCCCTCCCCCCATTGCTTGTATTTTTTAAGCATTGGAATTTAAATTCAACTAGAAATTACTAATCTCTGAATTGCCAGTTAGGACTAAGAAGTACCTATATATGCTTTACTTTTCTAGATTACTAATGAGGAAAGCTTTGTTTGACCACCTCACTGCCCGGGGCATTCAGGTAAGTTTCTAGAATGATCCCTTTTGGGATCTGTATTCATAGCTACTAGTTTAACACAAATAAATGTAAAGGGTGGGAACTTGTGAATTTCTTAGTTTGAACCTTGGCCCACAAATAAGGGCTGTGAACTCTGTCTTATAGTTAAGAATAATTAATACTAATAAGCTTAACAGTTCATTTCTAAGTGTGCTGTTATTATAATGGACAAGTGCTAATATAAAAGTAATTTTCTACTTTAATATTTTCTCATACTTCTAATTTTTAGGTGTATATTTGGGTATTAAATGAAGAGCAAGAATACAAGAGAGCTTTTGATTTGGGAGCTACTGGAGTGATGACAGACTATCCAACAAAGCTTAAAAATTTTTTACTTAAGTTTTCAACATAAAACAAGATGTTTAAAGGTGTTCAAAGAATACATGAAAAGACCTAAGAAAAAACATCTTTCACCATCATTTTCCTAAGCCATTTCCACAATGGTAAAAGGTTTAATCATTAAATTTTATTACCTCATTTTTAAAGCCTGTCTGAGAATGTAGGAACTATATATTGTATATTTATTTTTAAAAATATTGCATATTTCACATTTACAAATAGATTGTGTAGAAAGATAACTGGTCATGAGCCATTATTAGATTATTAATCAAGATTTCTGTATATGACACAGTATTCTACTATTGATAAAAAATCTTGAAGTCAAAGGCTACTGGGTAAATATGACATTAGCCTTCATTGGAATAAGGCCAAGTACTGAGTAAAACAAAGTTATTGAAGGCCATTACAACTATTTTGAGTTGTTTCATTGTTTCTAGGCCCATATTAAATAAAAACAAAATAGCAAATAGTGTAAGGATAGTTTGGAAATCACTGTTGTAGTTATCTGTAAAGTTACACATTAGAAGAAGGCAAAGAGGGCAGGCTCAAAAAAATTAACTGAAAGCACATTATTTGATCAGAAATAAAGTCTGTAGCTGTATGTAGACTAAGATTGGATTAATTAGTTGCTATTATTAATGGGGTATTCTATGTGAAATCTCTTTCAGGTGTGGAACAATGTTACCATGTCTTAATATATATTTATTAAACATAAAAAATGGACTTACCAATTGTAAATTAAGACAAGATCTGAATAGCGACATTTTTATGTACCTCTAAAGAAATGTTAAAATTTCCATTTTTTTTTTTTTTTTTTGCAATGACTGTCTGTTTTGGGCCTACACCTATCTTTTAAATAGCATTTTGATTCCTAATCATAATTTTAAACTGATGAAAATTGTGCATCATTGTTTTTGATAGTTGTGGTATAAGCCACCTGTTTCAGATCTTTATGTCTAATTTTATTGAGTATTTGGTGGAACTAGAATTTCCCAATGTATTAAACATTATTGCCTCAGCTTCTTGATGTGACTTCATGTAAAACTATTTACCCCTTTTAAACAGAATTTTTTATTATTACAGGTCGGGAGTTGAATATTATCTAGAATATTAACTGTTTTGTACCTAGATTATTTATCTCATTTGGAGTTTGCGAGCTGAGCAGCTAGAAATGAAGGATGATCACATTCTCCCATCTGTCCCTATACGACATAAATAGCATTTGCTCTTTTGTTTAAACTGAAATAAAATATTCCAGGAGCAAGATAAGGTTGATTTTTTTTTTCACAGTTGAATTCCAACTATACTTTATAGGTCTTTTCAAAACTTAGTGATGTGATGAATGGATGATACGAATAAGTACACCTGGGATTTTGCTCTTGCATAAGGAGAAGAAAAAAACAATGAAAACCTTTTTCTGGTATGTAAGCTGCCTTTTGGCATTTGAACAAATGGCTTTGGCAAGTAATTCTTAATGAGTCATTTTCATACTATAGTTATAGTTGCTAGGAATCATTTTGAACATCTTGGATATAATTCCTGTTAATTCTTTCCAAATTTTTCTTTATGACTCAGACTGCTTCATATTGTAGACCTATCATATATTCTGTTTTAACCAGTAAAAGATAAAAACACTGCTGTGTAGCTGCTTCCAACTCATGATAACTCTCCTTTGGATTTCTGAGGCTGTAAATCTTTATGGGAGGAGACTGACTGCTGTCTTCCTCCTGTGCAACAGCTGGTGAATCCAAACCACTGACCTTTGGGTTAGCAGTCAAACACATTACAGACAGGATCAGGTAATGTTTGGATTTTTGGGTTTTTTTGGTTGTGCTATGAGTGGAGCTGACTCCATGGCACCAGAAACAACAACAGCAACAGTAGAAGCAAGGACATTTAGAGTCCTGTTTAAATAGTGTGATGATTTTACACTTGAAGGATCTTGCTTAATAAAAGCATTGTACCTTTAACAAGGGCATTAATACTCATTATCAGATAGCATCTGAAATATTGTTTTGCTGATTTTTGTTCTTTTCTGTCCATTCAGAACCAAATCATAACCAGATGCTCTGCTTGAGAAGGAGGGGAAATCTCCTCCTGTACCAGTCAGATTTGATTTGACTGTACACACACAAAATAATAATAATAAAAGAACCAACTCATAGCTGACCCTCTAGTGGGTTTTCAGAGACAGTAAATCATCCAAGAGGAGATTGCCCATCCTTTGCTCACAGAGCATCTGTTAGATCTGAACAGTGTGTTTTTGTGATTACAACACAACTTTTTACCACTTAGCCACCAGAGCTCTGGACTTAGCTGACTAGAACACTGTATTTCAAAGATAGTATCTTTTCATCTTGAGATGGGTGTAACTAGCTTGGTGAACAGCATATCTGGGAAGCAGTTAAAGGTGTGATTAGACTCTTGTTGGAATAAGACTGGTACTAGATTTGACAGACCCAGCTAAAAGTCTAGGCCAGCATACCAAAAGTATCCTGAATCCATGACAGTATACAACAGGTAATTCAGCAATCAACTGGCATTAGGAATTTTAGCATGAAGTGAGAGCATTTCTGTAGCACTTAATTCTTAGGCACATTATTAAAGACAAAACAAGACACAGTATGAGAACTTGGACCCAGGCCTGGAAAGAAGCTAATTGAACAGAACTGATCAACAGAGTGATACATTGTGCTGATTACAGGAGTAGCTTGGTGCTTTGTTCCCGAGCTTCTTAAACTTCTCCTTTCTGACCAAAATTGATTCTAGGGAGAGAGGTGGGGCCCTAGCTGCACATAAGCATCCAGTCACAGCTGTCATTGCTGCCATTGGTTGAGACAAGTACAACATAATATGTTTCAGTATGACAGTTAACACAGGATACAGTGTGAGTGATTCTGCATAGAGTTTTGCAACTTGATGGCCCTGGAAAGGGGCTATATTTTTTTAAAATGAGAAATTAGATACAAGAATACAGATTGAAGGAAGGCCACAAACACAAGATATTCTGAATTTAAAGGTCTTTCTCTCCTTCTCCATCCCTCCACTTTTCCAAGCATGATGTCCCTCTCCAAAGAGTAACCTCTTCTAGAGAATCAAGATCAGCAGCTCAAGGCTAATTCCTGTGAAGACAGAGTCAAACATGCCTCCACCCCCAGCCTTTATACCAATTCTGACATTAACCGTACCTCTCAACAGCACTCTCTATTTTTCTGCTAAATTTGATATTTCAATGCAGTGATCACACAGAACTCAATTAATGGGGTTTATTGGGGAAATAACAGCTTACAATTCAGATTAAAAACCACTCAGGATACAGTTCATCAACCTTATCTCAGCTGTGCCCCTGGGGAGGCCTCTCTCGTGCCCTTGGCTTCTTGCATTGGCCTCTACTTAACAGGTGTTAGTTACATAGCTCTTTTAGCACTGCCAATAAGTGCCCAGAGGGACTCCACTCCACCAGCAAGTCTCTTGCCTGAAGTTGCTTAGCTTTCTCACTCCGTGGGCTTTTGTACCATCTGCTGGTGGCTCAGTTCTGTTCTTGCTGTTTCTCTGCATCGCACCATCTCCAAAGTTACTGCTCTCCCTCTACCTTCTGGGTTGAGGAGGTGCTCAGCACAGACCTACTACTTCAAAGGACACACTCTGCTTCTGCCACTTCTAGGTGGTTAAAAAGCCCGCCTTTCTGCTTCCAGGATCACTCATTTTAAGCCTAGCAGGAGGATAAATATGACCAATCCCTTTATTAGGGTTCCATACTCCTTTTTTTAAAAATTTTTATTTATTTTTTTTCTAATTAAAAAAAATTTTTTATACTCCTTATTTTTACATACCCACTCCCTATGCCATGCACCATATTTACATTATTAGCAAGCTATCTATTCCCCTTGGTAAGCCATATGTACCTCAGTTGGACAGTTCTAACAATTATTTTTTCTTTTGCCATGTTACCCCCATTCACAAAACAAACCAAGCACAAGGCCAGAGCTGAGGTGTGTGTGGGGTGTTTTACTCTGCCTCCTCTTTCTATACAGACAATACAAGAAACAGCCTGCCTGTGGGTAAGCATAAGGAGGCCAGTTCTACCCACCCGTGTGTGTGTGTGTAGAAGTAAAAAAAGACTGTCTAGAAAGACCATATTAAATAATTCATTAAAAAAAAATTCATCTAACTGTACTGAGGCAATTGATAATGATGAATATGAGTAGAACCTTAATTTAATATGCACCATCAGGAGATAATTTAAATAAATTCTGAAATGCATACAATTATCATTGAAATATTACTGTTTTATATTTACTACTATGAGATATTAAGTGCAAGCAAGATTTTACTGAAGATTATCCAAAAACAACCAGAACAGCACATCAACAGAGAACTACCAGAAGTCCAGGCTGGGTTTAGAAGGGGTCGTGGTACTAGAGATATTGTAGC